ACGCGGGCCACGCCCGGGGCTGGGTGACCGAGGGGTCCGCCTCGCCGCCTTATGGACCATACCTGTTTCGGCTTCAGCGCACCGACCGGGGGACGCTCTGGTCCCCAGCTCCTCCTTGAAGCCGAACGTGGAAGACCTAGGAGAAGAACGACGAGGTCCCGCGGGCGGCCGCCGGCCCTGGAGGCACACAGACAAGCAGGCCCTCGCACCAATCCGAGCGCCGCACTCCCTCTCACGTTCCAAAACACTGCGCGGCTCGGCCAATAACGGAAAGGCCGCGCCCCCTCAGCCTCGACGCACTCCCTCCGGGGCGGGACTCGCTGACGCACACTAGACTTAAAGGCGCGGGGCCTCATTTCCGAGCCCGCGACGGTGCGACGTTGAATGTCAGGAGTCCTAACCCCTCCTGACTCGCGTGTGCTTGTGATGGAAGCCTCGGTCTGCAAAATGTTATCTGCGCCCACGCTCCTTCCAGGGGCCGAGCAGACAGATGACACTTGGACCAAAGGTCCGCATTCTGTCTCAGGTCATCTCTGCGAGTTTCCCTGCAGGTTCCCTATTACCATCCTGCCCGCCAGGCACTGAGTGTGGCTCGGCCTCTGCCAGCCAGGCCGTGCGACTCGTGTGAGCCATTCAACATCCAGAACTCAGTTTTCTGCCCTATAAAACGGAACGCTAGACAGCTACACACACCCTCGCAAAGGGCAGTTGTGTGGGCCAGGGCGAAAGCCGCGAACAGCAGAGCCTAAATAAGCGGGACGACTCTTCCCGGGATACCAAGCAAACCAATCAAAAAATAGCGGAGGGGCTGCAGATTTGGCTCAGCCGTACTGTGCCCGCCTGGCAAACATGAGGTCCTGCGTTCAATCCCGGTACCTAAATAAACAGCGCGGGAGGGCTGACACTAAGCAGGAATAGTAATACGGTAACCCGTCATTTTGCGCCTGCTGTATGCTGTGGCTACGCGTGCTTTTGCTCTTTCGCTTCTGACAACAACCGTAGGAAGCACTTTATCGGTGCTTCTTCAAAGACCGAAATGTCTCTAACGCGGGGCTGTCTTACACAGAGACTGCCAGGAAAACGCGGCCCCGGGGCTGAGTGCAGAATCTCGCCAGGGTCACTGCCACCTTCTGCTGCATCCCACTGGACAGTGCCTGGACCTGCAGGGCCGACGCCTATCCTGGACTCTGCGACTGAATCCTGGAGGGTGTGGACACTTCCAGCTCCGACTGGGCTCGCCGGCCTAGAGAGGCCCAGGCCTCAGAGGCTCCGGGCGCGGGCGGGTTAAGGGGCGGAGCCGGCGC